TAGTGGATTTCTACCTAACCTCAAGCATCGATACTTACTGACATCCTAGTTGCTCGGTCATTCAGAGTACCATAATCCACGATAAATACTGAAAGTAAATACTAATCATGTGGCGTTCGCCTTAGAATTTCAACAATTAAGCCGACATCAGATTCATAATCTACACACCTGATTTACCGCGGCAGCGCGTTTTAGTTGAGATGGCAGATACGAAAAATGTTCTTCGACAGTATTTCAGTTTCAACGTTCCTCTATACATGTCTGTTGTCCTCTCGCTTTGTTAAGAAACGACACTCGATGCACGTTAGTTTTTGCAAGGCATTTGGTCCCGAGGCGCCACATTGACTGTAAGATCTGCTTTTTATTTCTACTACATAGATATCCGGTTTATGTCTATTTTCTCTTGGAATTTTACCAGTGCATGGCTGCATCTCTGGACAGAACTGTGTTTCAAGTAGTTCGCACGCAGACATCAGCTCTATTGTCTATAAACGAAGACTTTCATTTTATTTTTACATTGTTGTTTACACCTTTTGCTGTTAATCTATTTTTTAAAGTAAATCCGTTGAAATCCAAGTTCGTGTTACAGTTCACTTTCCGCAATTTGTTAGCAACAACACCCTCACTAACATAGTTTGGCCCTTCGAAGCAGTGGCGTAGCTAGAAGTCATGGGGCCCCGGGGCAAACATTTTTTGGGGGCCCTCATGAGTATGTTTGAGAATTAAAAATATCATGTTATAATAAAAAAATTGTTTATTGTCATAAAAACAAAAAGTATCACAAATTAAAATAATGAAATAACAAAAGTCAAAAATTAAACAATAATAAATTTAAAAATCCCTTTTTCTTGCTTTTCTATTTGCAAATTCGTTGATAATATCATTTATATCAAGGTTTCGGGCTTCTTCATTCTCTTTAGAGAGCGAAGCAAAATCGCCTAATCTAATCTGGCCTTTAGTAGACCTAAGATCGTTTTTTATAAGTTTTTAGCTTGTTAAATGATCTTTCAACAGTTGCAGTAGTTACAGGCAACGTAAAAAATAAAAGGTACATTAACTTCACTTAAGTCGCTTTCAAGTACTCCATACTTACTCAAAATTATATTGAAATTTTCCTTAATTGATAGATCATTCTTAAGGTCTGTTTTACAAATATTTAACAAATTGGTATACTGAAATATTAAATTATTTAAATCAAATATTTCAGGATATTTGTTATAAATGGCTGTACATTTATTTTTAATGGATGTTTCATCGCAACTTAATATAATTTTTGGAAGAAGTAAATCAGACAATTTATTATTTTTTTTCATGCTCCTAAATCTTTTAGAAATCTGTGTCAGCACACGGTCCATAACAACATTAAAAACATTTATTTTAAATAAAATTTGAGTATTATTAAATCTGTAACCACTTAATAGTTTGTCAAAGTGTTTTTTAACTTTAGGATGACGTTTTTGCCTAATTCCGGTTGAATATTCCATTTGCTAGCCAGTTCCGTAGCTTCAATCATTAAAATTTCATAAGAATATCTTCATTCAGTTAGGTTCTTTTCTACTTGTTCTAAAACAGTCACAGATTCACTTAAATCAATATTTTTCTTTTAAAGGACCTTTGAGGCGAAGTTAACCTGGGTAAAGATTTTATACAACATTGTTGAAATAAATACAAATTCAAAGCAACACATTTGTTTTTTAATGGAAGAAGCTTCTTCTCTTTCTTCATTTTTATGAGACTGTAACTCTATTTCTGTTAAAGATTTAATAATATCAAGATAACGAAGTTTGACAGCACTAATAGACAATATCCTTCCTGACCAACGAGTTGGATTTAATGTTTTTAAAGCTGTTTTGGATTCACTGGTAAAAGAAGCTAAAAGATGCCATCTATTGATACTTGAACCAAAAAAAGAATATATATTTTGCAAAGTGGCAAAATATTGCGAGACCTCTTTACACCAATTTACTGCATCATTTATTACTAAATTTAAGTTGTGACTTGTACATATTCGGCATTTTGTTGAACTCTTTTTATTTGAGCATTTACTCCATTATAAGCTCCACTCATTACACTGGCTCCATCGTAGCCTTGCCCATTACATTTTTCAATGGGAATATCTAGATTTTTTAGTATATTTGAAACTTCTTGAGTCATTCCTCCAGCAGAATGATCTTTTAACTGGAAAAAACCCAAAAAGGATTCTTTGATTTCAAACTTTTGAGATAGGAGACTTTTATCTCGAATTATGTGACACGTTGAATAACTATACTTAATTGATCTATCTTTGTGATATCTTGAGTTGTATCAAGAAGCACAGAAAAAAATGTTGCGGAATTTATTTGTTTTGTTAATTCTGAAGTAAGTTTTTTTGAAAGGCAATCTATCAATTCATTTTGAATAGTTGGGCTAAGATATCGCACAGATCCAGAAGGCATTTCCACCACCTGTTTCATAACATCGTCATAGTCTGACAAAAATTTCACTTGAGCCATAAAATTCCCGCTAAAATCATCTTAACGTTCACGGTGCCCCCGAAATGACAAGGAACATTTAGCCAAAAGTAATGTAATTTTAAATAATCTTTGCAATACCATTTTCCAGAAGGATGCTTGAAATCTGACCTCTTCTTCTAGGTTCTTGTCAATGGCACGATTTTTTCTCCAAAGGTCGTGAACAGCGCAAGCTTCAATATGAGCTTTGCTTTTACTGTGCGCTTCAATGCGTGATGATAAATGTTTCCAATCTCTTAAGCCCGTACTCCAGTGACTGCACAATTTTGAGAAAAGTCAACAAGATTCACAATAGGCTGCATCTAGTACAGTTGAATAGCACAGCCAAAGACGATTGACCGGACCGTATTTTGTAGTAGAAAAATAATAACTCTCACTAAAACTGCGATCATTTTGGTTCGAATCCTTGGGAAATGGACCTTTAGGTCTGTTGGGTTCAAGACTAATAATAATCTTTTTATCTTCATCAGTAAGAGTTTTTCCCATGTAAAATCCAAGATCGCTGCCTACAGTAATGTTGCTATTAGAGGAACCTGGTGTAGTAAACATGGCATTGCTAATAAAATTTTCATTTTCGTCATCCGTTATTACAAAAAAACAATACTGGGATAATGTGGGGGCTGATTTCGAATACGCTTCCACATCTCTGAATATGCGTTTGAGTTGTAAACTGAGGATGAGAAGAATTTAAGTTTTTTTCTGAAGTTATCCCTACTCAAATGCTTAGAAAATGCTAGGCACAGCAACATCCATGTTTCTAACCTTCAGACTTGATGTGAAGATTCTGCTTTATCACCTGAATCTTAACCCCGACTCACTTCAATAAGTGTCCGGGCGAAACTAATTTTTTAACCGAAATTTCGGTCTTAGCTTTAGTTTCTGCCGAAACCGAAACTTTTTATCGATGATTTTTTGGAATAATTCAAGTATTCTGAAATACGAGTACATCTATCTGGCGCGGAAGTTAAGGTAGTAGTGTATCTCTAAGAAAAAACGAACTCTATTGGAGGCTTTCTTTTATTTTAAGAATAATCAATATGAAAAATATAATTAATAAAGTCCCTAACATTTGGCTATCATTCTGCGCCTTCTAAAAGAAAATTATGGCAATAGTTTCCTTTTATATCCCTACAGTATATAAAACAAAATAAAAGATGATGTACCAGTCAATACAGTTAGAGGAAAGGGACCAAATTTGAGATAATTTTTTGAAAAGGAAAATAAAATACTTGTTTTAAACGAGCGTATATTTTTAAATAAACTTGCGATTTGATGCTCCTAGCATACTCTAAAATAAGAAAATAATATTAAATGTATTTTTTTACAGACAAAAAGTATATTTTAAAAAAAGTAAATATTTTTGTAAATTTACAGCTGGTTCCCTAATTTGAGATACTATTCAAAACATCCCTTTCTTTTGCAGAAAGTGCAAAAGAAAATTTTATTGGTAATCTCTTCACATTCTTTATGTGCCCATCTACTACAATGGCTGTATTTTGCCCATTTTAACCCTTCTTATCTTCGGAAAATGGACCCGTACAAAATAAATATTCAGCATCGCTTTCATGTTGCTTTCATCTGAAGATGAATCATACAACTTAAGGCTTCCTCTGCATTCTGAACTTGAACTGGAGGGGGAAGGTATCTATCCCAATCCTTTTGAGGCTTTTAAATAATCCATCTTCTTACTCTTGTGCTTCCAGGCATCTGCATCTTGATACAGGGCCCCAATTTGAAATAGTCTCAAATTAGGAATTAAATTAAATAATTAAAAAAGTTTAAACAAGCATATTTAGGTTATTTAATTTAATTATAAAATCACAGTATTGTAAAAGAAAATAAATAAGGTATTTGTAAACTACTAAATTTATATCAGACAATTGTTCTAAATAACTTACCTTAATTTTAGTAATAACTTTTCTCGCACTATTAAAAATATTTTTAACTCTCAAGAAGTGAACGGCCGGAACAACGTTGTATGTAACAAAAAAGCTCAGTGGCCGAAATTAAGAAAAACAAATTTGAACCATTTTTTTCAAATGACTGCGTCTATAGTTGGCCAGCACAATAAAGGAACAATAGTTATACAAGGTTATTGTAATTTAAAAATGTGACACCTATTTTGCAGCTATGGGAACCATTTTTATGGAAAACGCATGTAACAAGGTTGTATGATCACGTTACTTACAACGTTGTTACAGGGAGGCTTTAAATGACTATAAGCAAAACAAGTATTTTCAGCAGTTCTATTTATTAAGGGAACCAAAGTACACAGTAACAGTTTTTTTTATATTCCAACTACCACAAAGGCCTAAGGCCTAAGCACCCATTGGGTACCATGGGGCTATGGGGGATACATGGGAAAGGGGGGACGCCACACAGACTCTGGCGAGGGAACACGTGTGCATGCAACATGCACATATTCTGGCACCGCCTACGAGAACCGCCGGGTGGTACCTCCGCGTTCGACAGTCAGAGACCATCTACCACCTACGGACAATCACAACATCCATAGCCAAGAGAAAAATTTCTCCTGGGATGGGACTCGAACCCGCACAGTGCACGGCGACTGATCAGGAGACCGAACAGTCTACTACTGCGGCCACCGCTGCTGCCTAACATATTTTTAATAACAAAAAAATACGTTCTAAGTTCATCAACGTGTTTCGAAACCAAAACTGAAACTAAAATAAATATTACTGGGTTGCAGTTAATTTCTCATAAAATGTTACATACTTTAAGCGGAATATAATCACTCATATCTTCAAGGTTTTTTAATTTTTCATCTTTGATTGGATGAAGGTTGTGATACATTATAGGTAATTTTTCAGATGATATGATATCAGTGGCAAAAGTCATTGTTTCTTTTCTTTTGCGAATGCTTATGGGAAATGAATTCCAGGGCTGCATAATATTATGAGATTTTCTCATTCTCAAAGTAGCTGGAGAATCAGCGGTAAGTTGCAGCCACAATCCTTGTGTAATTTTAGATTTGGGGTATTTCCATATACAATATTCCAAAGCTGTTAAATTCTCAAAGAAGTCTTGGTGCATTCAGACAACTTTAAAAGGATTTTAACTTTGGCTTTAGCAATGACATCGACCCACTGGAATGGTTCATAAACCATAGATATTCTTTTTTGTTTACGTACATACAACTTTGTTACGCGGAAGACTGAAACGGCGCGCTTTACAAATTCGCGTCACAGTGATTGATGCGAGGTGGGTCTATGTTGTCAACGGATCCCAATAGGCACATACTACGTTGTTTTACGGAAATCTCATTTTATAGAAAAATGTTATATACAACGTTTTTCCGGCCGACCCTTCAAGTAACAAGTTGTGATATCACAGCAAACCATGTGCAAAACTAAACTGTAAACACATGTAGGATACTACGGCGTCTTAGTTCACAACTTTTTGGTATTACTAGAAGATGGTGCTACAAAGATACAAAGTTACACCACTGTCTCAAATTAGGCGCTTGTCTCAAATTCGGTTCCTTCCCTCTACCTAGAAAACGTATTAAATCTGGATAGAAGATTGGTTATCGGAGCAAAAACATAAATTGTTGATACGATACTGATATATACGGTGAGGTTCAAATGTGGCTGGCGTCGTAACGTGTAACGAAGTGCTTCTGTCTCCTTTTAACCCACGTATTGCAAACGTCTCGTGCTTCTCTCTCATACACATTGTGACGTCAGTGGTATTTGGTTTTCAGTGACCTTGACTCTAAAAATTGATCCTCTGCACATACTGACATCAGTGAAGGGACGAATTAAAGAGACGCGTCTCTTGATAATGTAAGGCATCGCGTTCTAATTGGCTGATAAACTCATCCCACATAGCGTCTCAGAGTTGTGGTAATGGAACCTCAGTCTAATTTACCATATATAGTATAACAAGCTAAAAATGTAAGTGCCAACAAGAAAACGAACATACAGATTAAAGCTGAAGATTGTAGCGCCTAACGTCTCGAAACCAAAAACATATAAAGGTTAAATAAACTATGAGGTTGATCACACTTTTGTATGTTACAATAAAAAAAAAACATGGAAACACTGAAAGCGACAACGTATATTCGTTTTCCGTTGTACTTTCGGTGGATTTTCGGCCGAAACTGAAACAAAACGCCAGGAAGAGAATTATGCAAGGATTATAAACCTGAATGGGCTGAAAACATTAGAGGAAATGCAAGCATATTTTCAATACTGCAGGTAACTTGGAATATTTATCTAAATAAATGTAAACACTATCTATATTTTTTTGCCGTAAATGTAATGTAAATCACACAAAAAGTACGAGGAATGTCTTTATTGTTTTTCGAAATATTCTCCACGAAGATTAATACACATCTGCATGCGTTCGAACCAATTTTCGAAGCACTTATTCCACTCGTTTGCTGGCAGATAAATAAGGGCATTTTTGAATACGTCAACTGCTTCTTCTGGTGACTGGAACCTTTGACCACGGAGTCTGTTTTTAATTTTCGAGAAAGTAAATAAATCGTTAGTACTTAGATCGGGACTATGTATATGGAAGATGGTCCAATAATTCCACGTTTTCTTCCGTATAAATACTGCCTTGTTTTTGGGCTGTGTGCGAGCTTGCATTGTCTTGGTGGAGGATGATTCTTCTTTCGTGGTTGATTTTCCGAAGCTCGGCGATGACTTTTGGCAAACAAATGGTATACCAATCCGCAGTAACAACAGTTCTTTGCTCATTAAGAGGAATTGTTGCAATATGACCCGCTTTTGACACAAATGTCGCGACCATCTTTTTCGAAACACTTCGAGAACGGATGACTTGTTGGCTTTTCTTCACCTTGGAACACCCAAACAGCCGACTGTCGTTTATGTTCTGGTTCATATCAGTGAATCCACGATTCATCATCACTAACAATGCTGTACACATTTTTTGAGTTTCCGGAATTGAAACGGTCAAGCGTTTTTTGACACCAATTAACCCTGGCTGATTCTGCTCTTCAGTCAACAGGTGGGGTATCCAACGAGAAACTAATTTTCTTACTACTAATTCCTCATGTAAAATTTTTTGAATTGAGGTCTTTGAGATCTTCAAGGACGCCTCAATCTCGCGGTATGTCACATGTCTTTCTTCAATGATGAGTTTGCGCACAGCATCGACGTTTTCCTTGGTAACTGCCGTTTTTGGTGCACCCACCCTGGGATTGATCGCTAAGACTCACCCGTCCACGTTTGAATTCTCCATACCAACGGGAAATTGTCGACTGATGTGGAGTTTCTTTGCCGAAAACAGACAGTAACTCAGCAAGGCATTCTTGTTGCGATAATTGTCTCTGAAAGTTGTAATAAATTATGGCGCGAAAATGTTCTCGGTTGAGTTCCATTTTTCTAATGACTTGGTGACACTCAAAAATTCAGTATAATGAGAACACTGCACGTATTGTGGTGAAACTTTGAATTTAAGTTTACTAAAGAGTGAGGTTAAGATTCAGTACTGACGTTCGATCCGCGCGGCCTACTATGTTTCTATATGCAAAACTTAAAAGGCGTCCCTAAAAACAGGACGCAATCTTGACATTTTCTCCTACCAGCCACACGGGAACCAGACATCTACTGTGAAAACTTTTTCGGTAAAAATGCAATCATTGATAATCATTTACTCTGATACGTAAAATCTTCATTGCAATTATTTGAACCATTATGGGTCGTTGTTAGTTTACAATTTTATTTAGATTTTGTGAATATATTCAGAATTAAAAATGTGACATGGATTTCTAAGGATGTCTTGTTTTCAAATTTGGAATAGGTACAGTGCTTTGTGTGCGAATTATGGGTTAATTGTAAGAACAATAACTAAGAACACTAAAATATAAGTTCAGGCTAAATACTGATTTGTGATTATCGTGACTGATTACTACATAACAATTAGAAGCTATTTTGTTAAGCAGATTAATTACCGAAGACTGTAAAACGGTTACAAAGCTGAGAAATTTATTAGTTTCTTGGAAAAAGTGTAAACAATTGTCAAACAAAGGTGATTATAATTTGATATACTATATTCCCAATTACCTGCACCCTAAGTAAATTTACGCTTTTGGAGTTTTTTTTTAATTTGAGAAATATTTTAATGGTGTTCCTGTTTTTCTTTTGTTTATTTGATTATATCGTTAAAATTTAACAATTTCCCAATAATGCATTTTTTATTTTGCTATCCCGTTTATCTTGCAATTTATTTCCAAAATACGTTCCAGTATTTTAAATGTGCTGCAGTTCCTCTACTTGTGAGCAGCAGTGTAGATACTTTTTTGATGGACTTCCTATATAGGATGTCTAGATTAATTACACAAGAGAAGCCATATAAGGTATTATTTGTACGAAGGCACAAGGTTCCATAATAGGGGAATCCTTATAGGTTCAGAAAGGAAAAGGACATTCATTTATTTCAGGGAAATATTATTTTGTTACAACTTCGGACTGACATTTTTGTTGAAAATAGCGTTACCTGTGACCTTACAAGATAAGCATCTTCTATCATCAGGTTTTTGGTGGATGATATGTTCATCTTTCTTTATGCTTCCAGCCTATGGTCTCCCAGAGAAGTTTTGCAGATTGGTGGCTGACTTCCTATCTGTCGTCATTGCAGGTTCTCCTCTTCATCCCACAATGTTAACGAGGATACTCCTTTAGGATCAGTATTGGCTCCGACATTGTTCCTCTGACGTGTCAATGATGTCCTTTCCTGTACGATCCATCCGATCAATAACTTTGCTGATGACATCAATAAGCATGAAGGATTTCAGAGTGACAAGCAGATCTGTACCGGTGAGATGAAGACAAGAAGAGTAGCAGCAACTTTTTACTTGTTCTACTTTACTTAGTATATCCAGAACTGTCCGATACGACCGCTCCGTTGTCCCTAGGGTATCAAGATTATGATCTAGGCTTTTTCCAGATCTAACGCTAGGCGATTCAAAAATCAGATTAACATATTTCTCCTCCTGGTAGCCGTGGTGCCATGATATTAGGTTTCTGCCCACACAGCTGCTTTGTTATAAAAAAAACAAATCAAAAGTGCCTCAAAGAATGATATTGTCGTTCTCTTTTGACAAATATATTTGACAAGCAGTTTTAGATTTTCATGCAAGTCCTGCCCTGGATTGCGGTTGGAAATGATTTAGAAGGAGCCAGCCGTAAACTATCGTATATATGCCAATTCTTTCTATGCTCAGGTGCAAACTCGGCGAAATGTAAAACAAACATTTGGCAATAGGTTTCCATAAATTTTCACGGAGTAAGTGTAATCAGTGCCTAGTTTCAATAGTGGTACGGTAATCATAATCATTTCATGAATGTTGACAACTCGCTAACTGAGGTTTGAACATTCACAGAAACCAAAATGCTTTCAATAAAATATTTCTGTTGAAGTAATAATTTCACGAGCTAAAGATCGCGCAAGTACAGAACAAAAATAAATGTTTTTTCATTTAATGCGCCAAACATACCAACCTGTGATATAAACTACATGGTATACGTGCATTTTCTAGACAAAGGAGTTGCTAATTCACTCATGAGAATATAAGGATATCAGGGTTATGCTGATATCTATATATGTTGTAAATTAAGTTTTACGCTTGCGGAGTAAGCGTATTCAGTCATTTGGTGGGTCTCGCAGCGTTACTCTTTCTATTACCAATACTTCCCCCGATTTGATAGTGGCTCACTCAACAGATATGAAGAGTACTCTAGGCTAGGTTTTAACGAATGGTTTCCTCGAATAGTTCAACCATACATTAACTCATGAATGCTTTAACGTTTCTTGGTGAAATACTATGTCAGAGAAGCGTTTAACTGCGTCAAATCATTGTATCCCCAAACAATGATAACCTCCAGATCTCTCGTCAGAAACAAAGTCGTGACTGCTTCCTCTCTTCAGCTCAAGAGCAGAAATCTGTCTGGTCACGGCTAAGTAGGTTCTTAGTCCACGTGCTTTCAATTTCTTCAGGTTCTTGGGATAAATCAATAGGTGTCAAAAATATATTTAATCAGCTTGCCAACGTTTCGGCGTTTATTTTACGCCTACCCCAGAGCTACAAAAAGTGTGAAAAAGATATATTTAAAAATTAAAAATTTTAAATATGGCAATAAAGTTAAAAATACAGTAAAAAATCACTAAGAAAATACACAGGAATATGAAAACAAAAATGATTACATGATAATTCAGGATCCAACAAGTGAAGTATGTTTTCTTTAAAATGGGTCATTACAAAGAAGCATTTCGAAAATCAAATTAATAAAACAACGATTCTGAAAAGATATTTTCAGGTTTTTCGAGGCATTGTGAACAAAAGGCTTTCTCTGAAGTTGATGTTATAAGGCCCACAAAGTACCATCTATTACCAGAATCGACCACTGCGAGTAAGCTGTTAGTTGGAACTGCATGTCAGTTTGCATTGTCAGCCGGGTCACTACTGTGGCCACTAGGGGCCGCCGATACTGGTGCTACTATACTAGATAACGGTCTTTTCGCCATTGAAGACAATGCGAAATGTTCATTCAGTTCCGACAGACAGCTTCGCTTTTTTCACTTTCACAGTGGTCGATTCTGGTAATAAATGGCACTTGTGCTGTTTTATTTCAATAGACCTTGTACTCTTAGCTTTCGGTCGTTGTCAACCGACCCCAAGCATGTTGTACTGATGCCAAATAGCAGGAAATATGTCCATGGTAATTTTCAGTGCATATAAACTTGGTTCAAGTATTCCGAGGACCGTGTTTTAGGATTAGTTTATTTAAAAGCATTTCTTAACTCTGATTGGGAAGCTAACAAATGGCGAACTTTAGATTTTCGCAGACTGTACGTACAATAATGTTTAGCAAATATACAGGGTGTTCCTTAATGATATGCGAATATTTAAGGGTGTGAATCTACATGATAAATTAATTTTAGTTTGGTTTATAAACTATGGTCCAAAAACGTTTCCGTACTTCCTGTTGAAGTTTCATTAAAAAAATGGAAATTAATTAATATTTTCAGAACCGCTTCAGGTATTTCACTGATATTTAGTACGAAGTGAAAGTTAATAAAGTTGCATATTTTTCAATGCAAAAATAACTTTTAGTTTTAACAGTGGCGTGCGTACGGGTATTGACTTCGATATTTTTTAAGAAAAAAATTGTACGCCAATGTTTCTTTGCCAGATAAAAATTAGTTTTGAATTCCCCCTTCAATTTAAAACAAATGATCTCTCTTGAATTGTTTACTTTCGACGCGCCATTTTTGAGTAAAAAAATAAAAACCGTTCTATTGTCTAACTTGCAAAATTATTATTAACTTAATTATTTTTGCATTGAAAAATATGCAACTTTATTTACTTTCACTACGTACTAAATATCAGTGAAATATCTGAAGCGGTTCTGAAAATATTAATTAATTTCCATTTTTTCCCCAAAACTTCAACACCCCGAGTTTTTGTAAGGAAACGTTTTTTGACCATAGTTTATAAAGCAAACTAACATTAATTTTTTATGTAGATTCACATCCTTAAATATTCGCATATCATTAAGGAACACCCTGTATCTTGTATGTGTCTCCATGGATTATTATACTTGATCTCTTGTGGGTAATTTATATTGATAATTCTGACATATGTTTTTCTTTGTTTCAGTTTGTGGAGATATACACGGTCAATTTTATGACCTTATGAAATTATTCGAGGTGGGCGGACCGCCTGCCAGTACAAAGTACCTTTTTCTTGGTGATTATGTTGATAGAGGATATTTTAGTATAGAGGTGAGTACCTTAATTGTGAAACAGTGGATTGTTATATAGGGCATCATTTATTCCAATTTGTGAACAAAAATCCTTCATCATGATGTTAGAGAGTGTTTAGTACAACAAAAATAACTGATTGTTAGGCCTTGTTAGGTTACCTTCGATAAGAATTGGAAATAAGGGAGGTCGGAAAATGTTTCCGCAGTGACAGTACTGACAACTGACAATCGTGAGAGGTTGCGTATTATATTAACGTTAAAGTTACCCCAAATGTTTTGGTTATACATGTGTTGATTATTCCAAACCGGAAACGTATAGGCTTGGAATCATAGAAACACAGAAGGACAAGTGACCACAAGTCTGTCAGAATTACAATAAAAAACTACCTCACCACATAGCGCATACACCAAAAATCGGGTCAATTTAATCAATTTGGACCACTGCCTATTTCCTGCATTTATCTTTATCTATGATGTAAAATTCATATTTATATTGCATATTAACCATGTATTTATAACTTGAAGTTATTTTTATAAAACCTTTCCAAATTTACAAATTTCGGCAACAGCATTGAATAATGAAGATAATGCGTTACGAAATAGTATCAAGTAACTGAGAGCGAAGGATGGTCTCGCTGCTGCGTAAAGTCGGAATAACGAAGACAATAACTAAGCAGCAAAATAAGAGCACTAAAAACTAGTATGTAATGATGTACGCGTCCACCATCTTTAGCCATCTGTGATATACTTAACACTCTCACCATTTTTTTATTTCTGTAAAATCGGTTGGTATGAAGAAAACTAAATCACCCAACATCTATTAAGTTATTAAATATGTATATTCCTAGAAAAGAGTATTCTTTAGAAAGTACGCTTTAATAGCAAATCGAACTAAAAATTAGAAAACAATTTTCCAGTATAAGAGAGTTCAACTGTAATAGAAAGTCAGTCAACTATAACTATGACTATTAGTTTGGACTAAGATCAATATAAAAATTAAAATAATAACAAATTCGATCTTAGTAAAAAAACGTGGTATGCTTGATATTAAATGTTAGAATCATTTTTTTAGTTGCTATTTACAAAATTTGAGTTAACATGAAATTATAGTTAATTGCACCACAGGTTTTTGGACTGTAATCAATTTTTTTGGGTTATTAGTTCTTGTATTGTTCCTATTCCAAACTAATCAATTATACTTGATTGTTGGACTTTTTATTGCAGCGCCAGAAACTCTCCTATATTTGAAAACTATTCTGTACTACTAATTTTCTGAATTTTTAGGCTCAAAATGAGATCACAAGTGCTTATAATCAGAAGTTTATATTTTCGGTATATTTTATATGTGAAAAATCTAAATTTACGTCAACATTTTTTCAAGTTACGAAATTTCCTAAATTATTTCAAAATTCACAATTTTTTTCAAAATTTCTAAATCTTCAAATTATTTTCCGAATTTTCTAATTATTTTCCAAATTTTGAAATCCATTCTTTTTCTAATTTGTAAATTCAAATTAAAAAAAAATCAAATTAGAATTTTTTTTAACATTATTGTATTGAAACTTTGACGTTAATCAGACTTCTTGAAATTGGTGAAAGTTAGGTTGAAGGATTCTGTTTCATACTGGTCAAGAAAATGAAAGCGTGTTAAAAATTGAAGAGTTAGAACCCCCAAATACCTCTCCTTGTTACCATGTTATAAGGGAGGATTCATCTACTTGTAGAAACGCAAAAATTCATGGCAAGGACTATAGCTCAGAAAAAATTGTTAAGGTAATATCTTACTTTAAACCTATTGAATGATGCATAGAGATCTTCAAACTGATAGTTGTATCAAATTCTGGAACATATTTTCTGAGAATGAAGAATATGTTTTCTGTTTCTAAGCCTATTTTACGTAATTGCGAATTTTTGGGTCACTCAAAGAGCGTGTCGGTAGATCCCTTAAGCAACCAGTGCGTTTTACATGAGAAAATATGTTATGTAAGAGTACTGGGAATTTTTGAACAGGGTGTGATTAGGACAAAGTTTTATGACAAGTAATAAGTCAATGATTTTTCGATAATGCATGTTAGAAAAGTAGCTCGTATCATTGTTTGTTCTAGGTTATAACCATACAAAATCTGACAGTTTCCTTCTCTTCTGTTGACAGTGCGTGTTGTACCTGTGGGCGTTAAAGCTGTGTTACCCTACAACCCTTTTTCTACTTCGTGGCAACCATGAGTGTCGACATTTAACAGAATACTTCACATTTAAGCAAGAATGTAAGTATATTTCGTATTACTTAGAGCTTAAGACTGCATATACAGTCTAATCATATTAGCAAATTTCTTCGAAATAATTGTAAAGTCTGGTTTTATTGGTGCAAGTTGTTCAAGGGGGTATTCAAAACATGGACGCATAAAATGGGTACACCAATCTTTGTGGGAAAACTTTTTATTCGACAACAAAAAATGAGAAAACGTGTTTTTGGGATTCAATCGAAAATTTTGACAGGAACGAAAAAACTTTATAAGATTTTTAAGTATTTATGAGACCTGCAAAATGAGATCATACGTGAAAAGATCCGACTAATAGCAAACGAGTTGACCGAAAACCAAGGGTAATTGCAGGTTTTGGCACTTGTTGGTAATGCGACGATGGTTTCTCGCAGATATTTGAAATTCTGCAAATCCGTAGTATTTGTACTTCTAAATATCAATAACAAAATTGAAGTATATTGGTCAAGTAGTTTTTGAGAATTTCAAATTGTTTATCCCAAAACACCTGTTTTCGGGCCATCACTACTAGTTTATTGAGCAATATACAGGGCTCGTTTAAAGAGCATTTAATAGCAAATTACACGTGCTTACCTCGCCGGTATGAATCACAAACCATTCCGAAAGATAAATGTTATTTTTATACGAAAAACAAAGATTACGTTTTTTTTCCTAAACAAATTCAAACATTTCGTATTCGAAAAACGTACGTTACTATACACATTTTAAACAAAGCGGATGTGTATATCATCTTTTGTTGCGAATTACTCACAAATACGAAATGTTCGAATTTGTTTAGAAGAAAAAACGTAAACCTTTTTTTGCATAAAAATAACATTTATTTCCCGGAATGGTTTGCGATTCATATCGGCAAGATAAACTAGTGTATTTTGCTATAAAATGCCCTCTGAACTAACGTTGTATATTGCTCAATAAACTAGTAGTGATGGCTGGAAAACAGGTATTTTGGGATAAGCAATTAGAAATTCTCAAAGAAGCAGTCTAGTCCAATTTTGTTGTCGTTATTTAGAATTTCAAATATCTGCGAGAAACCATCGACGCGTTACCGACAAGTGCCAAAACCTGCAGTTTGCCTCGGTTTTCGGCCATAGCTCTTTTGCTATTAGTCGGATCTTTTCACGTGTCGTCTCATTTTGCAGGTCTCATAAATAACTAAAAATCTTATACATATAAAGAGTTTTTTTGTTCCTGTCAACACTTTCCATTGAATCCCAAAAAAAACGTTATCTCATCCTTTGTTGTCGAATAAAAAGTTTTCCTACAAAAATTGGTGTACCCATTTTATGCGTCCATGTTTTGAATACCCCCTTGAACAACTTTCAGCGATAAAACCAGACTTTACAATTATTTCGCAAACCAGGGGCATTTTCGTCTAATATGATTAGACTGATATTTAAACTTGATGGAATATTCGTGGGAGGTTATTTTTCTTGGAAATTCGTTATACAAAAACAATTTTTATAAGTATAAATTGAGATTTTAGCTTGCGGTGTCAACATAATGCACCCTCAAGTTTCAAGCTCTAGATTTCCCACCCTGTATTGTATATGCTATGCTTTAACTCGAAGCCGTGCAGACAACCATGTTTTGTATCACTGCATCTGCATTTATTAACTCAGGTTTTAATTATCTCCATTTCTTTAGACTTGTTTCAGTTAATTAAAAATCACTCCAAAGGAAAAATAAAACATGTCTCAGCTTATATACATACTAACTGAGCTAACTAGGGTGCATAAAATTCCAACGTTTTATAATAAAGCTCTTATATACATATAATATAAATATTTATGAAATCCAAACATGATACTGAGACTCGGCAGTGTTTGAGTTTTAGATTTAAGTTTGGGTTAATACAACTAAAAGCGGAATATGGGTGTTAATAATTCGCTCGTGGTAACTTTCCAAGAAGTTTTTGCATTAATGCATATAATATGGGAGACCCGGGCATAGCGAATATCCCCCGTTATATCTATCTATATGCCACGAGTCCGACATCGTGACTAAGTAAATCAACGGATTCGAAAAGATTAGGAGGAATCAAGCCTATAGTCAACGCCAAACAAAGTGGCGTGCACGTCATCACGATAAAAATTCCCCGACCTAATGCCTAGGTTTCTATCACAAACAATTGCTCTATTGCAGTTTCATATTAATGTGATATATAAATTGTAAAATGGTCATTACTCTCTTTATGGTTAATAGTCATATAAACATTGTTATTAAAATATCACATAAGTTGCTTTCTGATAAATTTAGACGCATTATGCGAAATAAAATGTTTTGCAAACGCTCCAATCACTTATCGACATGTAAACGCACTAAACCGATTTCGCAGCGTTGACACATTGTCACCTTGAAACTTATTTAAACTGGGAACTGACATTTGTATTAATTTTGACACTGAATCAATTTGTGGCATTTCAAATCTTTATAAATCCTTTGGCCCCGCATACTGTAAATCAACAACTGTTTGTTTCAAAACAAAATTATTCATTTTACGAGTAGATAAAGGCAATTTTGGTATATAAAGATGCCCAAACAGTTAAATAGTCGGTGTAAGGAACTCGTGGCCTCGTTAATGCACTACTTTGAGCAAGAAAGGGACAACAACGGGCCTTTGTTGCCTTTAAATGCTGTTCAAGAGGTAGGTTACTAATAATTATATGTAATGTATATTAATAATAGTGAAATTTTATTTCATTTTTTGTAGCGTGTTGCTGCTGCTTTAAAAATTAGTTTAAGGACAGTTAGTCGTATTTCCGAGGGTGTGAAAAGTGATGCAAATTTAGAATCGCCCAAGAAAAAGCGGAGTTATATTAAACGTGTAACCAACACAGCGACATTGGATACAAGTGCCATTCGAGAAGTGATCTATAATATGTATCACAAAAGTAAAATCTTATTATAATAACTTATCAGAAATTTGCATTAATTTGTTAACTAAATTATAATGTCATATTACACATGGTTTCAGAAGAACAAGTTACGATACAAACTTTATGGTCTCGATTAAGAGATAGGGTATTATTTGATGGTAGTGCCACGTCTTTAAGGCGGTTGCTTAGAGATCTTGGATTTAAGTGGCTTAAGGACAATCCGCGACGAGGGCTCATGGAACTACCAAGTATAGCTTTGAAAAGGGTGGAATTTCTAAGGCAATACAATCAAGCCAAGGTTGAGGCCTTATACCAGTTTGTCTTCCTCGATGAAACTTGGATATTTCAAAATGGGACCATAGGTCGCTCTTGGCAAAATGGAAACCAAAAAAGCGTGAAAGCTATTAAAACAGATGGTAAAAGGTATGTACTTTTACACAATTTGCACTATAAAATTTAAAACTAATATATTTTAGATACATTATATTACATGCTGGAAATGAAAATGGGTTTATTGAGGGTAGTGAAGCGATATTTTCTTCGAAAACAAAATTGAGCGATTACCATGGAGAGATGAACCAGGACAATTTTTTGAAATGGTTTCAACATCAGTTATTAGAAAAATTGGAGAGTCCATCTATGATTATACTGGATAACGCCCCTTATCACAGCATGATATTGAACAAAGTGCCCAACAATGCATGGACAAAAAAAAATATCCAAGACTGGTTGACAAATCAAAACATACCATTTTTAAACACAATGTTTAAAACAGAGCTATTGAGTATTGTTGCTCGGTACATAATGCTTCTTAATTATATATATTTTGGTCGACAGTTTATATTTCTTTTGTTTATTCCTATTCTTAAAATAACTGCTTTTTTAGAAAGAAACCACCTAAAATATACGTGATTGATGAATTGGCGGAACAACATGGGCACAAAGTTCTTCGTCTGCCTCCTTACCATTGTATATTTAACCCTATTGAGTTAATTTGGGGCATAGCAAAAGGTTACTATGACAGACATATTGGCAGAGATGGTAACAGTGAAAAAGACTGTTTGGATATGTGGAACGAGGCTCTACAAACGGTTACCCCAGACATGTGGAAAAATAGTGTTCGACATACTGAGCAAGAAATTTTTAAATGGTATGAAAGAGAACGAATTTTTGATCGACCAGACATCGAACCTTTAATAATCAACTTTGAGAGTGATGAAGATTCAGATTCAGACAGCGCTGAAGAAAGAAACTCCGACTAACTTTATTGTACAGAAAAAGCTTACACCAGTAGCTTACCTAATTTTAGAATGCATTTTTCTGTATGAATTCTGTAAAATAAATACCATGCATAAAATTTGGAGGACCCCATTTGGATTTTTATTCAGTACCTTTAAGCTATCAATTAAATATGGTAGTTTCATAGTGTCATCTGATCAATAATTGTCATACTTAATGATTATGCAAGTACAGATCTATAATTTTATTATACTATTATTTTTGTTCTCATTTGAGGTTAATATTGCTTATAAACCTAGATATGTAAATAATAAATTTTATTATTTTACAAAAAGTTTGGCAACAATGTAAATTTTTCAACACACCCACCTTGATGACGTGCACGTCACTTTGTTTGGCGTTGACTATATATGTTTACATTGCATTGTTTGTCGCCGAATTTGCTTAGTTTTAGTGCACACTTTTGACTCATTTGTCTACCAATGCCTACCAAAGTGAAGGCGTTGTATCAACATAATAATAATACTTAGTCGAGGAATCATCTACATATCTTCATTATGTAAGAGATGCCATATCTTGAAATCGTCTAATACCACTATTATCTGCAAACATTCCCACTTTTATAAAATAATTCTGATTATAAGAATTTAATGACAGAACTGCCAAAAAATTGACTCATGTCAAGAGCATTTTGATCCTCAGTACAGACTATGAGAATAAGGAGACAAACAAATCCTTGACTGACGCTTTTCTACCTAGTCTGGATTCGTTGAGGTAAATACACATATTCGTCCGTCTGTATTTAGTAATTGTTAATCTGTTGTGGATATTGTCTATAAAATATTAACATCGCACATGAAGAATCTACCG